CTAAATAAAAAAGAAATACTTGTTTTGAACACATCGGTTAAGAAAATATTGACAGTAGAACTGGCACTGGTGTAGTTTACTCATTGTACGGTTGCTTGCTAAATCTGAAAAACAATTCATCCGGTTGCTTGCGAGGTCATTGTACTGTTGCTTGCGAGTTTATTGGCAATATATATCGTCTAGATAGTTTGAAAATTAACTTCTCAGAAATGTTTTAACACTAAAAATGTATTACTTCATTGAATTAATGACATATTCAAGTTTCAGCAAGTAATTTTAAATAACTGACGGCAGGTTTGAACTATTTTGCCCTGATAACGGTGTAAGTCTGCTTTGAACATTAATTCTCTTTACCCTATGTTAAAATAGTTGCAGAGATGGTTATAGAAACAAACGCGACACCTTTTTAAAACTTTCAGGTTTTTATACAGTTCTTATTCTACAACTACTGCATTTCAGATCATGAATGACTCATTTGTTTCAAACGGGCTTGACGAAAGCTTTCAAGAAATTGAACATGCCAGAGTATAAATGTTCAATCTGTGATTATTGCACCGACAAGAAAGGTAATTTAACGCGACACATATATGTACATGATAGAATGGTAAAAAGAAAGATGACAAAAAGCGGTTTACGTGTGAAATATGTGAGTATAACACTGGGAAGAAAAACAATCTAGAAAGTTCATGTTGATACAGACGAAAGTGCAAGTAAAACTACATTGATGTGCGATATATATGCGGAATGCAGCTCTTGTCTAAATTTGGAATGGCTTTGCACACAAAAAAACAATTCAAATATCAATGCCAGATTTGCAAGAAAGGATTTAACAAGTTGCTTCCATATACGGGGCACGTATCATCGCATGTTAAACACACCAAACAGAAATTTGAGAAATGTAACTTGACTTTTCAACATAAAAAAGCAGTTTAGACCGCCATAAAAAGACTATATACATGATGACGTCAAATATGATTGCGCCGAATGTGAGCAACACTTCACTAACAAGACTTTTAGTCACCTCAAAGATCACGAGAAAGTCGTTCACTGGGGCCGAAAGCTTCAATGTGATAAGTGTGTCAAGTTTTATAAATGGAGGTCAGACCTTAATCATCATTAGAAAACTGCACACAACTGAAGAATTATTTTGATTTTTTCAAAGAGCATATAAAACATATAGCATCTCTTTACCGGCGTATATGTTACTGATCTTAATAAATGTGTTATTTGTTATTATTATCACAATTATTTTAGACATTTGAATTTTACACAACAAGAAGTTGTGTTTTAGGCATCTGAACTCACTTAATAAATATTTGGTCATCAATCGTGAAGATAAAAAAATACTTATCTTTAATAGAAGTTGCATTTTGATATTATATATATACATCTAGGACTCGATTGCACAATATAAATATACTTTTGTGACAATTTAAGAATACGACAATGTGAATTTGAATACATGTACAGTTATTGCTTTATTTTAATTTTATTATGTTATTGCTGAGCATTATTCGATCTAATACTGTGATCATATCTGATTTTCTGTGATTCATATATTTATTTATTTTTACCATTTTCTAATGTTTTTGATAATTCTAAATAATAATAAACTATTTTGATAATATTACCATGAGTTTTTTTATTTTCATCAAGACTCTTTTTGTAGTAATTTGTAAAACTTAAGTTGTAAAATGACACACTGGTTTATCTTTGTCGTAATGTCCATATTCCGTTAGATATGAACAGCTTTCAAGACAGAAAAACGGTCTACGGTCTAAGACATCTGGTTGAATTGCACATATATGTCTCCATGATAAGTATTAACCTACAAAAAGAGAGGTGACAATAACATTAAATATACGTTGAACATCATGTCATGTAAATATGTTAACTGCAGTTAAATTCAGTCACTTAAAGTATATATTAGAGTCGCAATTTACCATCACAAAGTTTGACATACATTAGTTATTAAACCAACATATCATTTTGTCTGGTTTAAATGCATGGTCAATGCCATTGTGACCTTTGAAATGGGCCTACTGTTCAAGAATTGTGTTTTTAATTGTAACAAAACTTGTAGCTTGCTCCCAGGCAACCGTACAGTTTTTTTTCAAGTCCTCATAAGCAACCGTACAGTGAGGTAGCAAGCAACCGTACAGTGAGGGAACATCAACAGTTGCTAATTTATTGTCAATATCTTCGCAACCAAGACGTTTACAAATAACATTGTTTTATTTTTTGGTGCTTAGAACATAATTCTCGATAGCATCAAAAAGATTTGTTCAAATATTAGGTTTAAAGCTTTGAAATCGTCGTTTGATGAAAACAATTTTGATTTTTTTCGGGAAATCTGAGTGAGAAACCGCATTTTGTCTGAAAATATATGTTTAAACATTAGAATGTTGATTATGAATAATTTAGTTTATGACAGTACCACACATATAAGTAAAATAACACCAATGATTTATTCATTTTGACAAGTTTTATCTGTTTTTCAGCCTTGTCCTGCGTTTTACGATGTGTATTTCGCTCGCAAGCGGAAGTCACTGTGGACGATGGAGTGTACGCTGTGATACTGCGTTTACGGTCAGCATGGATCGAGACCAGCCTGCGCATCCGTGCAGTCTGATCAGGATCCATGCTGTTCGTTATCAGTCTCTCTACTTGTTATAGGGTTTGTAAGCGAGCAGCATGGATCCTGATCAGACTGCGCAGATGTGCAGGCTGGTCGGGATCCATGCTGGTCGCAAACCCGTTATGTTGGTTTTGTCGTGACACGGCTCGTTTAATTCTTAGAACAAATGCTTGCATTTTTCTCCTCGAAAAAAAGCTGGAAGCTGCATTTCTACTAACACTCTATAACAATAATGACTTTTGATCTTTGATGAACAGATACTCTTAAACAAATATGCTGCCAAAACTTTCACAATTTTCATTAGCAGACATATTTTGAGAGGTTCACTTTGAATAATTGATGTTTTCCCTATGTAACAGGTATTATTCAAGTGTGTTTTTCTATAACTTGTTTTTCTAAAACTTTTAAAAGTACATTTAACATTGAAACGAGGATATTTTGAACTTTAAGTAAAAACAATAACAACAACAACAACAACAAAAACATATCGTTCGGGAATTTTATTTATTTTTCATCGCTGTTTGTTTGTTATTCGTTGAATAACCTCATAAAAGTAACCGTCTTACATGAAAGAACCTAAAGTTGCTAGCGGGCTTCGAACCTATATCTGTGTTGGCAAGTGGTTCAAAGTCAACGACCATAACCACTCGGTCACGAACGATCCTATTGATATGAGTATACATTTGAAATTTTGATGAAACGGGAAACCTAAAAGTAGTTTGTTATAAATACAAGCAGAACTATATAGTACATAGAGTGACACCATTTGAAATCTAAATACTTTATTTAATAGGTTTTTAATTATCTTTTTATATTGTTATCATAGTTCATTTTTCATATTTCCAGTCTTATCAGATTATGAAGCATTTTAATCTAATTTCGCATAACGTCAATTACTCCACCGTACATAAAGAGTTCAAACTCTGACGACAAACATTTTTAAAAACGGTGATAGTAGTCTCTCTTGTCATAATGCTGTTAAATAGAATAACGTTACAGTTTAAATTTTCTAATAATTCATAGGCATTCATTCATTTATTGATCAATATAATTTCAAATGAAGATTATAAGATGTTTTACTTAGTTTCAAGTTTTTTTTCTAATTACATGCGACCTTGTAATTTTTCATTGTTAAATGGGATCACGTGTTAAACACTTATCCTATTAAATAAACCATACGCGGATTATTTAAGCGAAATAAAAGTCACTTGTTCTCGTACAATGAAGCCGAGTATTTGAATAACAAGAAATTTTAAGCTGTATGCCTCCAGATGAGCCAAAGTCTTTCCAAGAACTTATAAAAATGTATCAAACTTTTAGTAAGAGCAAAATGATTCAGGATTTAAGTTAAAACTCACGTCTTATGTTGGATAAATGTATCAAACTTTTAGTAAGAGCAAAATGATTCAGGATTTAAGTTATAATTCACATCTTATGTGGGATAAATGTATCAAACTTTTAGTAAGAGCAAAATGATTCAGGATTTAAGTTAAAACTCACATCTTATGTTGGATAAATGTATCAAACTTTTAGTAAGAGCAAAATGTTCAGGATTTAAGTTAAAACTCACATCTTATGTTGGATAAATGTATCAAACTTTTAGTAAGAGCAAAATGATTCAGGATTTAAGTTATAATTCACATCTTATGTGGGATAAATGGCTGATTCTGCAGTTTTATAACCATATATATGCTGTATGATTGAAGCAGTAAGGGCTATTTTTGCATATTTTGACCTATTTTATGATGTTTTAAGAAATATTTATTGATTGTTTCACTTAAGATATTGTCTATACAGTTTTCGAAAACGAAGTTGACTAGAAAATATTATAACAATCACTTTATGTTCTTGTTAATGCAGAAGGTTATTTAGTTTATCAAAAAGAAAACACATTTCTGAAAACTAGAGCCTTATAAATTCCTTTGAAATTATCCGGACATTATTTATACCCAATTAGTCAAAATGATGGGCCTGTGTAAAATGGACTTGTCATTGCAACCGACAATCATTAAACAATAACATTCACATACTAAAAAAAAGAAAGAAAAAAGAAAAGGTTAATCAGATGTTTGCAATTTATGACAAAATAAATGTAACATTTTATCTCTCTCTATTAAACAATGTACACAGCCTAAGGATTGCAATAGGTGAAAATCTCCCCGTTACCACGTTATCAGTTTACAGTTAACGAGTGTAAACACACTTATATCTTAATTTATAAATTAAGAATTATTAAATCTGATGGAGAAGGTTGATACAAGTTTTATATTTCACATATTTCAAATGCTTGTAAATATTGGATTGAACAAGTTGGTGTAAAAGTTGTTAACATTAAAAAAAGGACATTGGCAGGGACAATAAGGGCACTGATTATGGCCTTAATTTTAACGAACAATCTTTATTTAAATACAAACTGTCACTTTATTGTAGTAACAGAATAAGTTCTACTAAATTCAATAGGAGTTAATCGGTTACTGCACAACGTTGACGAAACATTTGCTGTCAAAATGGATAAAAAAGTGAAAAATAAATTGGATAAGGATGCCAATGATGACAATGAAATAATGTTAAAAACTGATCTGATGAAAGGCACTGACTTTACCGAGACAACGATAGAAATATCAGCTAACAATGTTCTAGATGAGATGTCAGTATTTTCTATCTTTAAAAATCTTGTTACTATTGGTGTTGCATTCATGTTATTATTCAGCGCTTTTAACTCGTTCACATTTTTACAAAGTTCATTGAATAAAGAAGATGGTTTAGGAACATCTGGACTAGCGAGCGTGTACGGGTCTATGGTTTTGACGAACCTGTTTATAACACCTTTAACTTTGGCTCGATTTTCTGAAAAATGGATAATAGTTGGATCTATGTCGACATATATTGTGTATGTCATCACAGGGTTCTATCCAGCTTGGTCAACTGTTATACCTGGATCGTTAATCATAGGTTTTGGTTGGTATTTATTATTTAGCCTATACGTAATTCCAATTTTTATTGTGATTAAAAGCAAATTTGAGTGAATGTTATAAATAACTTAAAATACATTTGTTATTGGTACAGTAAAATGATTGATAACTTTCAACATAACCTTAGAGTACTATCAAACGTGCTTATTTGATACATCTATATTTGTTACATTTAAATAAAATGACTTTATATAGTTGTTTGATGTCTTTACCATAATCCTATTTATGTATTTACATAAATTTTCAAATAATGAAAACTGCAAAAATGTCAGTAACGTTAAAGTTGTTAATTGTTGTTGTACAGCAATTTTAATGTCAGTATACTCAAACAAAATTATTGCAACAAGAATAACTTATAAATTTTTCAGTAGTTATTTTCAATGTACCCATTGTTTTATATGTATGAATTTTATAACTATGAACATAATTTGTAATTGTTTGAGCTTAAGTCAGAACATGTGCATATAATTACATAGTACTTTTAACGGTTTCCCATATTTTCATTTGCATGATAGGTGCAGCACATCTGTGGCTAGCAGTTCAAGCTTATATCACCGACATTGCAAAACGGTATGCAATAATAACCAAAACTAAATTTCAAGATAGAGTGCATCTTTTCCTTGGTATATTTTACGCATTCACATATACAAGTAAGTGCTTTTAAACTAGCAAACCATTCCAATCTAAATCACACAGATAAAAAACATAGTAAATTCAATCAGCCGTGCTTTTTATATAATTATGTTCAGTTTTAACATCAAGTAAAAGTTTTAATTGCAATTACTGTTTTACTTACATTAAAAATAGAAACCAAAATTTATGTTGGTTTAATATCAACGAAATACTTTGTAATTTTTGCACGGGAAATGTTGCAGAAGATGAAACTCATTTCTTTTTAATTGAAATGTAAAAGATAGAAATCTTGATTTTCAACATATATCTGAAAAAAAAGTTTGCATATGCTGTCAATAACCAGTATCTGCATGTTGCTAAATTCTTACATGAAGCTATGATTAGACGATGGATGTTTTAAATAGAAAATCACATATTAAATAAATGATTTTTAAACGCATTCGTACATGAATGCATACTGCATGTTTAACATTTATGTATATAAGTACCAATTGTGATTTTATAGCTAACTAGATAGTTAAGACAAGTAAGCTTGTATACTGTCCATTTCATTTATGCAGATATTCTTATTATGTTCTAAACATTTAAATCAATATTATTACGTGAATGTATATAAAATTGCAAATATTATATGTAAATGTATTTATGTATTTAATTTTCTATTTTGTTTTTGTTACTTTTTGGTTGTTTGTTGCTTGTTTTTTTCTTTTTTATTGGGAGGGTGGGGGGAGGGGTAGTCCAAATAATTTAACTTGTATGCCCAACGTGACCGCGTGTTGGTAATAACTTTATTGTTTCTTTATTATAAAATTTACTTATCTTTTTATATAGCTATGTATTTCCTAATACTTCTAGATAACATTTGGTTCAAATTTGACATTGAATCTGCGCACATTAACATTTAAAGAGAACAATCTATAATGTAACTACTTTGTAACATTTCAGGTAACATATGGGGAAACTTAATCTCATCTTTTGTATTTAGACGTACAACTGTCAAAAACACAACATCCGATATATTGGCAGTGTGTGGGCCAAAATATTGTCCGTTTAAAGAGATGAATAATTCCATAATTACACCACCAACGCATAAACAGGTACATGTCTTTATTAATTTCTTGCTAGTCACACGTGCATACATTATATAATTATAATTCTTACCATTTTTGCAGACAAATATCTATCTCAGAAATGTCAAATCCTTTGAAGGGACAAAGAAATCTGGACGCGTATATCAGCGTTTTACTTAAAGCGGCATTGTTTATATATTAGATACAAGCAAGCAGTGTTAAAACACTTCCGAAAAGTTTTATTTTTTCAGTCAAAATTACGTATCAACGGACAAACAGTTTCACTATCACGTGACAAAATGTTGAATTTTGCCTACAGCCGGGGCTAGGGGCAATGAACAGAACCTTGCATTTAAAACTTCATTTCTCAGTATTCCTTGGTCGTTAAATAATTTAATGTATTTTACTGTGAGTGGTTGGGAGTGTGGGAAAAGATACAATTCCTTGACAGTTGATTTTTACATTGTTTCTCTATGAATAACTATGAATAGGTCTGAAATATGATTCACTAATTTATGTTGAAACATTACCATTTTTTCTACAAATAACGGAAATCGAATACTCTAAAGCCGGCGCTGGGGGGGGGGGGTGCGTTCTTACCACAACATTTCATGTACAGGTGCAAATAAACCGAGTCTGTAACAATTTCAATTTTTTATATTGCCGACTTTAGCTTTTGTAGGGAGATTCTATCATTAATAGTAAGATTACATTATATATATGTGTATCATTCACTACTCATGCTTTCCAGGTTTACATATTCACAGGATGCTGTGCTGGTATGGGATTACTGGCATTAATTCTAATGCTACTTAGCCTCACAAATACTTCTTCTGGTGGACACAAAGTAACCTCAGTATTTAAGAAGCTAAAACTAGTAACCGTACATATATTTACTTCAAGAAATCAGTTTCTGCTGACCTTCGCAACATTACTTGGCGGTCTTGCAAATGGATTTACTGCAGGTGATTTCACAAGTGTAAGAACCTTGCTACCTATTATTCCAACTTGTTCTTAATACCTCTATTTTTTTTCATTGCATTCATTAACAAGTCTTGGTATATTAAACTAACGGTATTCAATATAAATAATTACAAATGTATAACAGATCTGCATTCTTTTGATCATTGAGGACCTTTAATTATGAGATATTATTAACTATTTTACTTAATATGATCATTCTACATTATCCTTCATTTAATGTAAAGGTAAATTGTTCTCAGTGATGCTATTTGTCAAGTGTAACTCAAATCTTTTGGGATTAGCAGTCGGACACTTGTGAAGAATTAAGTAAATACTGGCAAATTATACAGTCTGGTAAGGAATATTGTAAATAAAATACTTGTTTGTACTTATTTTATATAAAATAATGTCTAATGGTTATTTAAAATATATTACAAATTTCGAATTTGTAACACTGAAAAGACAAATTTGAAAAAAAAAATCCTGTTATTTTTTATTTTATAAAGGAAAACAAGATCAGTTATGCAAATCAAAATTAAAAGATCACTTCTCTTCAACTGATATTAGAATTTCATTTCAGGCATATATAAGTTGTCCATACGGCATTGAAAGTGTCGGATTTGTTATGATCACATTCGGTGTTAGCCAGTCAATGTTCAGTGTGATTTTTGGAAAGCTTAACCAATATACTGGACATATTCCTATTTATATATTTGGTAAATAACCCATAAACGTCTTATGTCTTATAATATGTTTAACCTTTTATTATTTTGGTTAAATAGTTATGTGGAATATGTTACATGTTTACTCCTTTATATCAATATTTTGACAGAGTTTAAAGCTATAAGAACTTGAAAACTATGAGTTGTTTCGTTTGTATAAAGTAAAGTTAGTTTGAAGTATAAGGAAAATAATTATTGCATATTTCTATGTTAACATTAATTAACTCGTACATTAAGGTACGCAAATAAAATGGTATGTCTGTACTCCGTAAAATGTTAACTGTTTGTATTCTGATCTAAATATTACAACAATCATAGATAAGAAAAATACGGTTGTACTTTTTTGTCAGAGCGATCCGGAGCAAGAATAGTAAATTTTATATAATTATCAAACATGTTATTCGTTCAATCTGGTTATAGGAACCACCATAAGACTATGTAATTAGAAATGTATATTAAAACAATTATTATATAGTTATAATACAAGTTTAAAATTGATATTAAATATATGTCACCAATGACAGCTACGCCATCTTTATATCGCTGTTAAGATGTGGCAATGAAAAACTTTCATAATATCAGTTTTGTTTTCTGTTTTAGGATTTATAACGCAGATGGCGGCCTATGTAGCTTTATTGCAATGGACTCCGCGTGTTGAGGACTATGCAGTTGTGTACATTCTTGCCGCCTTGTTTGGTATAGGAGGAGCAATACACTCTCCTTTGGTTTCAGGTCATTACCATTGTTGCTATCTCGGTCAATGAAACATAGTGTTGGCCGTTCAGTTTAAAAAAAACAATTTAATCATTTAGGCCCCAAACCCTAAGGAGAAAGTTAAACTATCTACACAAATCCTAGTTAATATAGGGTTAACGCACGTTTTTCGCCCGGTAGGGCGAGGGCTCCAACAGTTCCGAGGGACTCTGCAGACTTTATAACACGAAATAAACGTGCGTTGACGCTATTACAGCATAAAGTTTTCAAACAGATTCGTGATGTATAGTTTATACAAAACACATTTACATTAAATTCTTGTGCTTGGACGGTATTTATCCAATTCTATGTTTTACGTATGCGTTTCATTTTTCCGGGGCCAACAACTTTGAAAATTCTCGGAACCGAACGAAATTTTGAATTTTAATTTATTTTACAAAGCTTGACCTTAGGAGATTTATTATCTCAAGAAAAAATAACGTTACATTACTCTACCCTCTACCCAAGACAAAACATGACCCTCAGAAATTCTTAGAATGATTTCAGATTGACGGTAGAAAAAGGATCAGTGACATCAGAATCGGTTTTTTTTCATGCAAACAAGTTAATAAAAAATCAGGCACTAAGCAGTATTCTCTCAAAGAAATATAAAGAGCATTTATCAACATAAACATAAATAAAAAAACATTTTCTCATATTAATTTTGTGTTATCTAGTTTTGTAAGTTAATCGGAGTGTTAAACTGAATGACAGGTAGATTCTACTGTATTTGTTTACATTGACAACTGTCCGTTTCTTAGAAAGGGCGACAACCAAGATTAGCACCGATGTCTATACGCCGTTTTTCCGGCATAGTTACTTGAATATGCGACTGAGGCCCTCGAATCAATAAAATTCAATATAACAAGATCGCATGACTCTTTGGCAAACAGTCCAAATTGTCATTTTTTGTTTGTTTGTTTACTGGGCCCTGTATGTATTGCGCATAGGTGAAACCGGGCTATAACTAGAGCGCGTGACTATGTTAACACATGGTTTTGGTTCCGATATAACATGGGCAAAAGAGGGAAAAATAGCCGATTTTATGCTATAATATTGTAATATGACATCAAACAAGTTTGAGGCAGTCCTAGACTGCTAATTGATTTTTCTGAAATATTTTTAATGCTTATTTCTTTGCGTCGAACGAGTGTCAGACATATTCAACTTAGTCATTTATAATTCAATTCTATCCAGTAGGGATATGTGAAATGTTTTTTTTTTATACACTTCATGAGTTCGTTTTCCATTGCTCTTGAACATTAAGGATTTGATTGATTTTATAACTTATGTTTATATCATTTCATTTCAGCATTGTACAATGTTTACTTCAGTAAGGATAGGGATGTTGCTTTATCAAGTTTCCGAGTGATAAGTTCAGCTGGTGGAACGATAGCTTTTGGATACAGCAGTTGGTTATGTACAGTCTATAAAGTGTATATTCTAATAAGCCTATTGAGCGTGTCACTTATTACTATTATTCTGTTAGATATATTGCACAGAAAGGACGTTAAACGATCTAAATGTTCAATGAAATAGTGTAATGGTACAGAACAGAAAAGACAATTTATTCAGTCTTATGCACATACAGCACATAGACTTCAGCCAATAAATAAATATATTTGTGACAATAATGACATAGTTATATTAGCATAATAATATACAAGTTACACAATGTATGAATAAATATCTATACTGTGTCAGTGAAACGTAAAACCCAAATCAAACAAAAAATCAATTTAATGCACTTATAGTTTTTGACACAGTAGACAACGCCAATAACGCATAACATATATTTACACGCGTGGTACGTTTCAAGGCATTTATGCTATGATGTATATTAATGAAATCAATATTATCGTGAAGTTGTGTACATTCAAGAAAGGAAACACTCTTATTATTTGGGGACCCTCTAATGTGAGTTTTGTAAATTAAAGCTGATAATATTGGTTATACAAAGAAGTACAATTCATACCAGAAAACGTAAACGGGAAGTCTGATTTACCTCCCTTATCATGCTTTTCTGCAATTCATAGGAATAACAATTTATGTATTTTAAATAAAAGATAAGAAAAAACATACGCTCAACCCTCTCAAGTATTTAAATTGCTTTTAGCAATTTCAATTACACTATGAATAATGTAAAATATTGACAGACACGAACGCTTTAAAGCTCGCGTTTGCGTGACATAATTCAATCTTAAAAAGTCAAAAGCAAATGTTCTTGGAGCCGAAATGGGGAACAGTTGTAATAGAATGTCAGAAAAATTGAAAACGGTTTCAAAATATAATTATTTTTTTAAAGTTTATTCCTTATTTCACACGCATGTTTTTAGTATATTTACTGTTATACGATAAATGAACCAATACATTGCAGTGTTTTATTCAACACATGCCACCAAGCAGTAGGATTTACTTAGTACATCTGAAATATAACCTTCGCAATATGTAAACATCAACCCCGAAAAGTCGAATTGTTTAAGCTCTTTTAAAGGGTAATAGTGTATTACTACAAATTAACATTTAAACATAACTCTTATTACTTCCAAACAAAAATCTACAAATGTCCAAAAAATTTCGAATTTAACTTCAGCTCTTAAGATTGAAAGAAGTGTCAAAATTTTACTACAAATACAAGTGTTTTTTTGTCTTCAACAAAACGTCTTTTCTTCGCACACAAAAATGCTGACACATGTCCAATAAACAATTTGGACCGCTGTGAATATACTTTATTCTCTGTTTATTTGTAGGGACAGCTGATGCTTTATTGTTATAAATTGTAGTCCAATATATTTGCACTATATACTTTACGAACATTTGTATTGACTGTTAAGGTTTTAACTGTCCTAGTATAAAGTTGCAGTATCAGATAAGAAAACCCATTCGTCGCCTTGAGTTATTTGAGAAAGAAGAAGAATGAATTCTAAAGTGCTTAGGTGCATTCATATTTGTTCACACAACACATGCGTTTAATTGCGGATCATAACAATCTTACAATGGCTGAGAGTACAGACCGGAATATCTAGCTCGAGGGTAACTGTTTACGGCAGTCATGCTTTGCCGAGTTTCTGTTAAACAGTTACCCGAGGACTAACTATTCCCGTCTATACCGACCGCCGGTGTTTGATTCTTTTTCTTGCATATTACATATTAATTAATTATTTTCAGATGATTAAAATAACGAAAACTGATATTCTCATAACGCACTTTATAAAAGCGTATGAAGTTACAAATTCATTCATAACAGTACAATGACGTCAGCATATCCTAAGAAAGCAATTCATTCATAAATGGCGTGCGGCAATGACGTCAATTAAAACATGCGAACTATCTTACATGAGGTAAAAGAAAGTTTTTTTGTAGCACCTGTGTTAACTCTGATATGCCAGAAAAATTGGTATTTCTTGGTTAGTTTTCCATATAAGTCTAGTGGACGCCCAGATGTGCGTGATGCAACCAATCTGTAATTAATTTACTTGTTCATATAATTCGTTATCATTTGTTTGAAACCGTAGAATGCATGGGTGTTTTTGCAAAAGGTTCTTAAAGAGGCTTTTACAACTCTTCATTTTAAATGAATATTTTCGTTTTGTAGCTGTTAAATATTCAGTCCCGGCTTCCTTATTCATTGCTATCTTAAATGCCCACAAACAGTATAACAAAATTAATAAAATCTTCTTCTTTTTGTGAAAATCTTAATTGCTAGCGTCATGGAAGTCGATATTTCTAATAAGGTGCTCGCTCGTGCCTGAAAAGAAAATGCTTGAAAGTGCCTAGGCCTTCCTCAATCAGTAAACATATGACATTGACAGTGTAAGTGTGACTTACAGCCCCCTTTCCACTCCCTAAAATTATAGAGATGAATAAATAAAATACTTGTAAAATATACAATGTTTGATGATTTAAAAGTAATGTAATGTACATACATGTATATACGGATAGGCAAGCATTGAAAATAGCATTGATATACAATGCCAAATAATGTTTCCGATTTTGAAGGATTTAACGACCAAACCTTTATTATTCTACAAACTTCTCAAAATAATGATGAACATGATTCTGTAGCTATGAAAGTGGAAACAAGTACTGCAAACATGAGTTTTCCCCAAGTTTATACATTAATTATATTTAAGTTTTTCGCTCTCAAGTAATCAATTTCCATCACGCAGCTTCAATGCATATTAATGCGCACGTTCATAAATAAATAAAGAGATTTGAGAAAACCACTAATGATACTTTTATTTTTTATTTCTATTTCTGTTTTGTCTCAAAAACGTTTTTTAACAACCAAAGGATAGCAATGCAAAAACTGTATATTCATCTGTGTATGTAGTATACATCAATCTACAAAAATAAAACAAAAACACACATTGAATATTAGGTAATATATTTGTTGTGTCTACGTGATATCTCGTGTTTTTTATTAATTAAGTGGGGCGTCCGTGACCGAGTGATTCAAGTCGTTGACTTCAAACAACTTGCCCCTCACCGCTGTGGGTTCGAATCCCGACAGGGACTTTGGATTCTTTCATGTGAGGAAGCTATCCAGCTAGCTTACGGAACGTCTGTGGTTCTACTCATGTGCCCGTTCGTGCCTGAAATAATGCACGGAAGGGCATCTGAGGTCTTCTTCAACCAGTAAAGCTGGAACGTCGCCATATTATCTATACCTTGTCGGTGCGACATAAAACCCAGTTAAACAAACACATCAACTTTTAAATCGAATTTCCACAGTAAGTCATACATAGGTAACTTAGGCATTGTTAGACATTTACATATCATACTTAAGACAACTTGTCGATATGCGAAGAAATTAAAATATCAAGATTGCAATAAAAGATAAATTTGAATAAAAAATAAGAGCACTAAATGAAATATTTATAAGCAATTATTTAATATCTTTACTGATATAGATAAATACAGAATCCCTAAAGAAAGCCCAACACGGCAAAATTAAAAATGTTGCAGGCTCGGTTTGATTGAGCCTGTTCATGGACGGTACTGGAAAGTGCAAGTTACCGTCCACGCCCACTAGCACCGGCTAGGAAATATATTTCAGATTTATCTCAAATAATACAATAGCTTTGTGAATACAAGTTTGTCATAATAAACAATGTTATTAGGAAGGAGCGTATTAAATCAAATATTAATAACAAACTCAATGTATTTTCAAAGGCACATTACCTTGAAATTTTTATCAATATCTAATTTCAGGACATTATTTCTTATTTTGTCTTCAAAGCAGGTAATTTCGTAACCAGACACTTACTGTTTGTCTATTTCATAAAATATTTAGAGATTCGTCCGCTCGTAAATTGAGTGTTTGAAATGAATTAGCGTCTATGTTCAAGGGACAAAATGCATTTTACGAAATGTAATTTTAAATGATTTATAAGCTTTCTCCAAACCGGTACGACGTATCTTATGTGTTGGGTTTTTCCTTGAATCATTGGCTGTTGCACCATAATGAGTGTTTATGATGCCTGAGGAAAGTTGCATTTATTGGTGCTCTACTTTTCTTTTACATAAAATACGCTCTTGATGGTTGTATTTTTATCTGGTACGACATCAAGACAGTAACTAATTTTCACTTAGAAATACATTAAACATCTAAAACATAATTGTTTGCTAGTAGATTGCATCAACACTATGTTGTCATATGGCAATTTTCGTGCCTTGATATAAAATAAAGTTGTTAGAAAACATAACCAGCAAAAATTAAAAATAGAAACAAGCAGATTTTGAAAGAATATCAGCTCAACGATTTTGAAATAGGTGCTCATAAAAGCTTGTGGAAGAGAAACTTCATTTTTCTATGTATTACAAAGGTTTTCAAAGCAATAGGAAATCATCGGTTTGGTTAACAGTTTACACAATATTTTGAACTGTGTAATGCTTAGATATTATTATGCTTTAGATAATAACAGCCGTTTTCAGTGACACTGATGTACTAATTGTGTGTTTTATAAAACAATGTTTGTAAACAAAATAGAGTAGATCTCATCAGCTTATAACAATTATATGACCAGAAAAGAAAGCAAACAAATCTCGAAATTACAGCAATTTGTACTGTATTATAAACAAAATCAATAGTCTGGACAGGTCACTGTCTTGTAAAAAGAATTGGTCTACAATGGAAGGTCTGTAATACAATGATTATTTATGTTGATCTCATTTAGTTTAAGACATAACTACAAACCACGAAATACATATATGGCAAGTATAAGATACATGATCTGATATCACTTATATCAAAAAATTTTATAATAATATTACGGAGACAATATAATGTTCGAGAACAAATATTATTGTTCAGCATAAAAACTTTCATACGAAATCCTTAGAACATTATCAGCATTTTTGTCAAGCGACGAATACCCAAATAATACATTTTAATTTTTTTTTTTAATATATGAAAAACTTTCAGTAACATATGTAAATATTAGTTCAATCCAGTAAACTACATAGTATCCTGGCTCCCACAATCTTTCTAATGTATTTGATATTATATGTGGTGTTTATAATATTGTAAAATTACT